AGGGCCACATATCTTATGTAGATTTAGTCTTACCTTGCAAAGAAATGATTCAGGTTATTTTGATTTGATATGATATCACACAGAAATTCTGTGTTTCTATAAAAATCTTCTTTCAATCATTCTCATTGCCAATTCTGTTCTTCATAAAACTTAACTGTCTGTTCTCATAGAGATAAAATGTTGGCTAACATCTGTCTCTGTGGTAGCCAGCAAACTTTAGAATAATGATGCAGATTCACACTGAATAATTCATTGTTCAACATTAGCATGTTACAGAACTGACAGTACCCTGTTGTATTTGCATGAATTTAGTTAACAATATTTAGGGCGTTTTGTAAAGTATCACCTAAAATAGTAGCTTTAGCACAGAAATTTTGCTGATGCAAGATACATTATAAAGAAATGAGAACATCTGGATGTGTTAATAGTTTTTTAAATCTGTGCAATAAAGCCTTTATATTTTCCTGTCATGGAAGGTGCACTTGTCTGTACATACACTCACCAAATTCAGTCCAACTAAATCACATTTATCTTGGAAGTTGTTAAAGATATCTATTGCCTGTGTTCTGTTCCCAAGAGTGCCCAAAGTAACTATAAAACTGGTGCTTACTCTGTAGTATCAGATGATTTCATCCAGAGTGATTGAATAATATTTATTTTCCATTTGAAGTATTGCACAAAGTCGTTATATTAATTTGAAGGTTAATTCATGCTGCCAGTCAGTATGGTTCTCCTTGAAAGAAGTACTTTGTCTACTTTGAAATGTTACTAGGGTTTCAGCATCCTATTATTCTGACAGTGCTCCTTCACATCTTCTACATCACTGGTTGGCTTCTCATCACCCTACCCCTGCCATATTTAGGCTACTTTATAAGATGCTTCAGTGACATTATTTCCAGGTCTTAATGCTATTTGAAAGAAAAATTATCTTTGCTTTTGCTTTTCATCTTTTAATTTCTGTAATACAACCTTTTGTGCTTCTCTCTCTAATTTAAAAAACAGTAGAACTTCCATAGTTGACCACCTCCCTACACTGACTACTTCTTAAGTTGACCTAATTTTCATAGACTAGACTAGATGTGCACCACATATACATGTCAGTATGTGTCCTTATGTTGACCACCTCTGTGTGCTCAACAGTTTGTTACAGTCCTTTTGGAGTGGTCAAAATAAGAGGTTCTACTGTATTCGTGGTCCTTATGAAAGTTACAGTGCTGATGAGCATTGGATTTCTTTGATGTTGATATTGCAGTATCACAAAGCAAGCAAATCATTTTCTCTTTAGCAGAAACAAGATAATATCATAATTCCCAATCCTAATTTGAAACTGTTTTCTTCTTTTACTGTTCTCTTAGTCTTCTTTGACTAAGATAGGCTGTTAAGCAGACAGAATTAAGGAATACTGTCTAGCTGTGCAACTCTTCACAAATTCCAGTTCAAACAGAAACACTGCACCGTTGTCAAAAGCCGAAAACAGACCAATGTGCTCAACCGCCATAAACTCTCCTCTGCAGTAGGGGTGCCAGCAGGCAGAGGAAGTTAGAACCAAATCATGAGCATAGCAGTGGGCAGTTTAGCCATTATGGCTTACTAATGGTCTAATGGTACTGGTCAATCTGGGAGGACTATTTCATTGAAACTTAATTCATTTTTGTAGTATTTTATTTTAAAAAATATTTTAAATATATTCATTTAAAAAATTTAAAAGCCAACTATAAATGTATTAATAAAAAGAAAATGTTTTGTTCTGTAAGATTTGGATCCAGTCAAAAGGCTATAGGTTTCCCACTTTCTGAGTGTTAAAGACTATGGAAGAAAATAATTTGAGTATATTGTGTGTGTATCTTTTGGTTTGTTTGTTTGCACTGTCTAGGGGTGGGGACTCTAGTCTCAGCACTGGCAGCAAACCCCTGCCTTGTGGTAGTTCTGTTTCAATGTTTGGAACATGTGAACAACTTGTTTTTGCAATGGCGAATGGTTTGCACAGAAACGGTTTTTGTGTTATAATTTTACAATTATAATTATATATTGTAATTATGTGACTATAAAACTTTCACTTCCAGGAAAATAAAGCATTTGATAAAGAAAACTTATACCTATTCTGTCCCTCTATTGTATCATTAGCATGTTTTCTAATTTTCTATTTATATGCTAAAAATGGTTATTAGAAATTATTTCACATTCTACACTGTCTGTCCCTGCCCATTCCAGCATGCTTGAAGACGACCTTCAGCTCAGTGACAGTGAGGACAGTGACAGTGAACAGGTAAGTTTCACACACCCTTTAATGCCAGGAATCCTTTTTTATCTGCTTAACATGTCTGAGCTGCTTATTCTAACTTGTTTTTTGTTCTTTCCCTGGTCCTTTGTTCCCTTACTGTGAATGCCTAGACCCCAGAGAAGCCTCCTTCCTCATCTGCACCTCCAAGGTACTGTGTGGATTTCTCCCCATCTGTACAGAACTTTTTTTTTTAAACCAAATCTGAAAAATAAACCCTTATTTAGTACTTTCATAGTTCCTTCATGGTGAAGGAGATGGAGGATCACAGTAAAAGGAAAGTGCCTGTTCAATATTATTTTGGAAGCTTAAATCAGCCGCAAGGAGGTTGTGACCCCTGTAAAGCAAAGTCCCCACATCCACCTATATCACAAATTTAGATGGTAAAGATTTTTGAGGATTTAAAAATTAGCTTAAAGTACAGTTTACCATCATACTATCTATCCATATTCGAAAAATTAGATTGGAAGGCCCAGTATTTTTATGAACATGACAGATTTGCTGTGTTTCAAAAATGAAGTTATTTCTAGAACTTGTTCTCCACTGTCCCTATTTTCTTAGTTATAAGAATTTTCAAATTGTTTTAGCTACATTTATAAATGATCTGCAGGGCAGCACCTGTGGCTCAGTGAATAGGGTGCCGGCCCCATATGCCCAGAGTGGTGGGTTCAAACCTGGCCCTGGCCAAACTACAACAAAAAAGTAGTTGGGCGTTGTGACGGGCACCTGTAGTCCCAGCTACTCAGGAGGCTCAGGCTAGAGAATCGCCTAAGCCCAGGAGTTGGAGGTTGCTGAGCTGTGATGTCACAGCACTCTACCAAAGGCAATAAAGTAAGACTTTGTCTCTAAAAAAAAAAGATCTGTGGTACATTTTAATGTGATAGAAAATGGAGTTGTTCTCACTTTCTAATAAATAAGCCAGACATGTTAGAAAGTTTGAGGCTTTAATTTTTAGAAATGGGAACTATTTGAACTACTTTTATAATAATTGCTTTCTGGTCCAAAATGATTTTATATGCCAAATACCTGCCCTTTTTGGACAAAGAGTTAAGTTCTTTTACTCTCTGAGATGTGCTTGTCATTCAGAGACAGCTCAACAATAAAAAAATGTGTCTGTCATACAGGGGATTTTATAGTTTATGTGGATGAAGACCAAGTAATTATGCAAAGTTTTATGGGTTCATAGATTTGCTTGTTTACTTGTATTTCATTTTGTTCGGTAATTTCTGGTGGGTTCTGACAATTCATAAAACATAACAAGGTATCCTAACTTTGAAAATTGAAGGAAAAGGGATTAAAAAAAAAAAAAAACTTAGGTAGGGATAAGTTTGAGGCCAGAGTAGCATTGGGAGTGCACCCCATTCCCTTCTGATCATCATTGGGTTACACTCCTCAGCCACTGTGTAGAAAGGATTACATACTTGATACAGCATTTGTATGAGGAAATGTTTGTTTTAAAATGACCTCAACTAGTGATTTTATTTATTCATTTTTATTCTAATATCTGTCGTTTAGCAAAAAAGCATTTTTAGACTATTTTAGGTTGATGTAGAAGTTTCCCAGATTATAATTAATGATTTATTGCTTTAATATTATCTGTGGCAAGATTTTAAGATTATATATGTACATGCTTTGAAATTCAGGTATGTCTAATAGTGTGTATGGTAAAGATGTGTTTTCTCAGTGGCCTAGAATTATTGCCCTATTGTTAAAAGTTGGAGT